TTGATAATCTTCTTCACTGCAATTACTCAAACAAGCCATCAAGCCATTTCAGTAAGAAGATTGATGAAAATCACGGTATCTGGCATCAATGCCAAGGCCACCCAAGCAATTCAGTCATTAAGAACATGAAAATTCTCATTGTGTCGGATTCATCAACCTGTGAGGTGTGTATTTGTTCGAAAATGACTCTATCTTCATTTCCTGGTCATTTTTCTCTGGTTCATTCTCCCCTTCAAAGCATTCATATGGACCTGGTTGGACCGATCAAACCTGCTTCAAATTCTGGCTTCAATTATTTTCTCACAATTGATGACCAATTCTCTTCATTTAAATTTGTTCGCTTCCTGAAGGCCAAATCGGACACTCTTGCAACATTGAAGGTTTTTGTCATCAAAGAAGTTGAAAACTTGAGCGATTCAAAAATCAAGGAAATTGTCTCGAACAATGGTGGAGAATTCACAAGCACTCTCTTCAAAAGTTTTACTGAATCTCAGGGTATCCAACATGTCTTCTCCCCTCCCAAAACTCCTGAACACAACGGCTGTGTGGAGAGAGCAAATCGGACTGTGCTGCACAAAGCACACGCAATGCTTCTGACAAGCAATTTGCCAAAACAATATTGGGCTGAAGCAATAAATACATCAATATTTGTCTCAAATCTATTATCCACTCCATCTCGCTCAAACTTCTCTCCCTACAAGCTCTGGACTAAGTTGGTTCCTCCTCTGCATCAAATCAGAACCTTTGGTTGTAAAGCCTATATTTGTGTCCCAAAAACTCATTGTTCTTGGAAGCTCGGAAAGAAGGCTGAGCTTGGCATCTTGGTGGGTTATGAAAACAAAGGGACTGTTTATCGAATTCTTTGCTTGAGTGATAAGAAGCTGATCAGAACTTGCCATGCCCTGTTTGATGAACGGTGCTTCCAAAAGTTCTCCAAAGAGTTCCCATCTCTTGACAATGAAATCAACAAAATGTTCATGGATTCCTTTGATGAAGATGACAACGACACTGCTGGCTTGACTCCGGTAGTTTCTTGTGGGCCTGCTGTTGAAATTAATCACACCACTCATCCTGAGGAGCTTGAGGTGCCTCCGGTTTTGCACCCCACTCCTATCTTACCAGCAACCAACTCCCGTACTCTTATTAATGGCGACATATCTCCCTCCAACGTTCTGTCGACTCGTCGAGTAAGAAAGCCCAGAGCCTTTGCAACCGTGGCAGCCCCCAATATCCCTGCTCACTACCATCGTGCAATTCACTGCGCAGAGGCAAAGTTCTGGGAGGGGGGCATTAAAAAAGAGTTGGACACGATGACCTCCTTGAATTTTTGGGAAGTGGTCCCTCTTACTCCAGGTATGAAAACTGTTGGCACTACCTGGGTCTTCAAAAAGAAAATTGGTGACGGTGAAACGGTCTTCAAGGAACACCTCTGTGCACAAGGATTCTTGCAAACTCACGGCTTAGATTTCTCAAAAACGTTAGTCCCAACTGGGTGTCTTAACTCCCTTCGGGCACTCATTTCTTATGCGGCCGCCAACGGTTTGGATTTCCAACAATTGGACGTGAAGACAGCATTTCTGAATGCTGACCTTGAAAAAGAAGTGTATCTTTCCGTTCCGCAAGGTGTCTCTCACAACAAAAAGAAAGTTTGTCTCAAATTAAAAAAGGCTATTTATGGCCTCAAGCAAGCTCCACTCGCGTGGTATAATTGCTTGTCAGAATGGCTTGTCTTGGTCGTCTTCTCTATATCGGTTGCCAATCCTTGTGTATTCTTTCGACTTGGGGATAATCCAGTATGGCTCTTCATCCACGTGGATGACATTGCTGTATTTGGAAAAGATATCTCAATCTTCAAATCTGAAATCAAACAAGAATTTGACATGAAGGACATGGGGAAGGCCGATCTCCTCCTTGCAATCAAAGTCCTACACAAACCTTCCGCCATCATCTTCTCACAACTCCATTATGTGAATTATTTTTTATCTTTATATGGTATGACATCCTGCAAAACCGTTGCAACTCCTCTGGTTCCTAATAGTCAGCTTGATAAGGCTTTGCAAGAAGAAATGGACCGCTTCAACTCTTTGGGTTTCAACTATCGCAGCGCAGTAGGTGCTCTAAGTTATCTGAGCTCCGCTACTTGCCCTGAAATTGCACATGCGGTAAGCCAATTGTCTCAATACTTGGAGGCTCCTGGGAAGCCTTCACACACGTGCTTCGTTATCTTGCTGGGACTCCCGATCACGCGCTGGTCTATGAGCGTGACTCAATCAATCATCTGGAAGGCTACACCAATGCAGATTGGGGTAATTGCCCTGCCACTTGGTGTTCAGTAACAGGTTATTTGTTGCTCTTCAACACCCATCTCATTGGTTGACAAACTAAAAAACAGCCGGTGTAAGACTCAAAAGTGGTTGTGAGAACCCTTTTGCTGAATGTTGAAGGGTATGGTGGAGTTGCAAGCTCTGCCCTTCTGTACTATCAGATAACAAGACCCACCAAGCTCAGCTTGGCAAGTTTTAATCAAGTGATAGGGGTGGTTGGTTCAAGAATAAGTTGTTTAATTGCAATTTAGTTGTGTGAGAGAAGAGGTTTTGAGAGTGTGAGAGTGAGTTTAGTGTGTGTTACAAGTGTAAGGGTTGTTATAGGGTGTTTGTAAAGGTTGTTACAGTATGTAATGTTAACGGTATGGTATGTAATGGTAGGGGGTATGTGATTTGTGGGTACTAAACTGAGGGGAAAAACAACTGGGAGGAGAGCCTCCTTAAATACACAAAGGTGAGGGATTTTAGCTTCAGGAGAACAAGAGAATGAGAGATTTTAGCTGGCCAGAGCTTTACAATGAGGGGATTTAGCTAGTCAGAACATATACATGAGGTATTTTGGCTGGTTGAGCAACCTACATGATGTCATAAGAGTCATTTTGGCCTGAACTACACCACAGGACTATTCTGATGTCCCATGGACACTCTTCTGGACATCATCTGAGGTGTCCAGAACTTGCAGGGCAGAGAGTGTCCATTGGACACTACTCTGCCTGACAGTTTGCGGACGGTTTCTGGAAAACTGTCCACTGGATAGTTTTCAAGCCGTCCAATGGATGATTTTGATTGCAGTGAAGAGAAAAAAAAATTGAGGAGGGTCAGAGTTGAACCCAAGACCTCATGCCTGTAACATTGCACACCCATGAGCTTCTCCTTACCAACTGCACAATGCAGAATTTCTAGTCTTGCAAATGGCACCAAATTCACATGCATAGACCGAATTTGCACTTTGGAGCAAGCCATTTCACACCTCTTTTGATGATCAAGTGCATTTTTGGAGCTTTTTCTGGCAATCACGACCCTGCACTTTTGGAGTGTTTTTCGACAATTGACCACACTTGTGGAGTGATTTTCGACCATTGACCGCATTTTCAGAGTGTTTTTCGACCATTGATGTGGTGAGACCAATCAAGGTCATACATAGTACAAAATAGTTATACATAGTATTTTTTATGATGTTACAACCTGATATACTTGTACTACATAATTCATTATCTTGTATCCAGTTCAGAAGGTTACAAAATAGTATTTTTACACATAGTTTGGTTACATAATATATAGTACTACATAGCTACAACATACTACATATCACACATCTCAAGATACAAATTAGTCTTCCCTCAGTACCTTCTGTCTATGATAATAATCTTTCAGTAAATGTTATTTATTTCATCTCAGATATCACTTATTCAGACTACATATACTGTTTCATCCCATACATCTGATTTCTCATCCAGATGTTGTCATCTCATCTCACTCATCATCCACTTCTTTTCATACATAAATTACTTCATTCTACATTTATTTTATTCTACATTTATTTCATACTACAAGTATTTTATTCTTACATTCCATTTCAAACTCAATACACATGGCTTATATCACCTACATTCTCATCATACATCTCATTTCAACTCATTACTCATTGCTTATATCACCTACATATATATTTCACCACACAGATTTCTCATCTCACCCCAGAATATTTATTTCAGTCTTTGATTATCTCATTTCTTTTTGCACTACATATTATTTTTATCACAAACAAAGTTACTTCATATTTTCTCCTTTTCAACATGTTTATTTCACACTACACATTTGTCAGCCACATTTATTTCATAACCAATTGTCTTTCAGATACAACTTATTTCATACCATTTTCTTACATCAGCTGATATCTTACCACTAGTATCTGATCAGAACCACCCACATGTATATAGAGAATACCCTTTCCCACTTACTTTGTTCCCCATGCTTGCATTAGAGAAGTAAACAGATAATTACTTAGCAGACATCACTTACTAGTAGTTACCAGAAGTAATTATTATTGATTTCCCCCCCAGAAGACAAGAAATTGAACCCAGAAACCATTACCCCCCAGAGCCTCATCCTTACCAGAATCCCCCACATCCTCAATCTCTTAGCAGGTGATTTGTACAAGACATCAGTAATAAATCTCATACTAAGATTACCCACAGAAATAGCCACACCTTTTCTTTAATTCTTAGTGTAACTCTCTCCCAAGCCTTGACAAGAGGGCAGCTTCATCCGCATCCAAGTCTTCAACTCACATTTACCCCTGTGTAGTTGTTCTTTTCCCCTCTAAGCTCTTTTCTTTAGCTTGAAAAGTTCCACATCGACCAAGCTTTTGAAGCTTTTTTCGACCATTGACCACTGGCTCCAATCAGTAATTGTAACTCAAAGTGTCCAATGGACACACTAAAAACCGTCATCCATCGGACACTCTCCAACCGAGAGTGTCCGATGGACAATAGATCATAGCGTCCATTGGACGCTGCGTATTTGGCCAGCGTCACTTGGATCAACGGTGAAACAGATCCGATCCGATACGGTATCGGCCAATTTATCGGATCGGATCAATTTTTCAATACCAGGTATCAAAAAATAAGGGATCGGATCACTAAGGGTGATCCAATCCCACGGTATCGTATCGAAATGGTATCGGATCGGGATCGGGATCGCATTGCAATCCCGATCCAGCACCCAAATGCTGCGGGCTGTATGCCTTACACTTGGGTATCATCCAAACTGTAAGCAATCCGATCCCCGATAAATACCGATCCGGGGATCAGATCTGTTACATCCTTGCTTGGATGCTTTTGGACACATCCAAGTGATGCTGGCTCGCCAGAGCGTCCCTCGGACTCTCGGATTGCATCCGTTGGACACTCTCCTCAGGAAAGCGTCCAGCGGATGGGGCCAGTTTCAAAAAACTCGCCCCGTGGTGTAGAAGTCTACATGAGGGTTTTATGCTGGTGTAGCATGCTACATGAGGTGATGCACTAGTCTTTAAACTAATATGGGGTGATGAAGATTACGTGAGTGGTGTGAGATAGTGTGACAGCTGCAAAGAAGAATAACAAATGACATGACAACCTGCATGATGTCACTTGTAAATCCTGAGTGGTTCCAGACCAACACTGCATGTGTCCATATGTCAGAAGATGGTGGAGTGGTGTGTATACTTATGTACTATGCTGGTGAGAGAGTGTAGTTGTCCTGAAATGTGCATATGTATAGTGTGAGATATGTAATTGTTGATTTGTTGGTGGTGATTGAGTGTTGACATGTTGTTGAGGTGTGTAAGTGAGTGTTGTGAGAGTCCAGAGGGTGTAACTTCCTATCCGGTTGAGTTCCAGTGATGCCTCCAGTGGTGACCAAGGGTGAAATTGAGTTGAGAATTCATTTCTTGAGCCATATTGAGTGATTTTTGAGTGTATGTAGAGGAAAAAAGAGGGATAAAAAAGAATAATAAAAAACTTTGAATTTTTACACATTCAGCTACCACACCGGTGGTTTAGCTATCTTCCTGTGAAGCGGAATATTGCGCACTTACCGACTTCTCCTGTGAATTGCTTTGGATACGTCAACTGATCATTGAAATTGGCCTTGACGCATCGCAAGAGGCTACCATTGTCCACAAGGACAATCAGGGCTGTATAGCCGTGGCAAACTTTGATGCCAATTCAAACTCTTGCAGGATGAAGCATGTAGAAATTAAGCTTCATTTTATTTGGGAAGTCATCAAAAACAATAAAATCCTTTTGAAATACACTCCAACGCACGAAATGTTGCCGATTTCCTGACCAAAGCAGTTCCTCGCCCAGCGCTCATCAAGTCTCTTAAAGCTTTAGGTCTATTTTTTCTTGAGGGAAGGGGGGGTGTTGAGGTCTAAGCCCCACATTGTTCCTATCTGGCCCTTAATCTTATTTTTCTCTCAATACCAAAATCAATCCGCTCTTCAGCTTTTGTGATGACATCACCTCGCACAAGCTCTCTTCAAACATTCATAGCATGGTGATGACATCACTGCGCTCAAACTCTCTTGCATGATCCCTTTTCCTTTTCCTTTATCTATCAAGCATGTCTCTCTAGGATCATTTGTCCCCAGCAAGCTTCTTTTCTTTGTCATTTTTTATCACTTGACTTTGCTCCTCACTTTTCTCTCCTCACTTCTCTTGCAACTGAAAGCTTCTCTCCTCTTCTTAGCTAAAGCTACATATCTTATCTCTCTACATCCTTTAAGACCGATTCTCTCATCCTTGGTCTACATCCTTCTTCATTTTCCTTTGAACAAGTGATCCTGTCAATTATTATACTGATAATTCCCTTCCACTTGACAACTTGCTGATCACTCTTATTAAGAAACATCTTCTCATTCCTCATCTCTTTCTCTTTTTACTTGTTGTGACACCGCACTAAATTGTTGTCTTTTTTCTTAGTCATCTACTGCTTTTAGTCTATCCATTAACAAAAGAAACTAGAAGGACTTACCTGGTTCAGAGAGAGGATGGGGTCAGTTCTCTGCTGAACCAGGGAAGGAGCACTCAGACAGGAAGACTAGAGAGAAAGTGTGACATCTCGTAATAATTCTTGTGAACCCTGACAGTGGAGGGAGGGTGTCAGCCTGCTACTATTCAGAGACAACCTGACCATAGCATATTAAATATTTAGAGACATTAATTACACATACTACCCCCATAGCATATGTAATTAATGTCTATTTTATATGTACATAAGATAGACACATTATTACTCACTCCATTTATTTTTACTAGTCATAAAAGAAAACATAAAAATAAGCCAAAAACAGTTACAAATAAACATTTTTAAACATGAATCTGCAAATAACTTCTGAACATTAAGCAAAAGTTAGAATATTATTTCAGATTCTTAATTTTCATGCAAAATAACCTAGGGTACCTCACCAGAAGTACCCCTGAATTATTACTCCTTCATGTACTTCTGTGTACTCTGAGTGACACTTGCTCATTTTGCTAGAAACCCTCCCAGTTACATCATACTACATGTTGAGACAGGTCTACATATGTAATTAAGGTTCATGCAGTTTGTGAAAAATCCAAAAATAAGGTTGAAATCATTGAAACCTTAACTACATTGTCACAACAACTGTAACTGGCTGGTCAAAAGCTGTCAGCTGTGGTGATGCCAAGACACTAAGTCTTCTAGCTGCACCAAGTGATGGG